TGGTGTACCACGTCAGCAGGCCAGCACGGACTGTGTCTGTGTCACAGCATAGTCAGGTCGTTCCGCGTCATCAGGACAGCTATGTTACTGTTCTTCGTTCGAGCAAGTCCAAGCGCTCGAGAATGTCTATTTCGAGAGAGAACTCCCCGATTCCGAGGACGTTTGGCCGGCGGAGCAACAACTGTCTCCCCCCCCCGTCGCCGAACCATGCAACCCTCCTTCCGGCGGCCACGTCGAGGATAAAGGGTTCGCACGGCCCAACGTCCACCGTACAGCGGCCACCCCTCCACCGTCCCCAACCCCGTCCGCGACTCCAGCACCAACACCGTCCGTGACTCCAGCCGCCACGCCGCCCACTGGTGCCCCATCGATCGCGCCGTCCGCAACAACGAACATGTCAAGTACGATCGGCCGCATCCAGTAGGAAGGCACCGCGAAATTAGTCAACATCAAAATTCGTCTTCTGCACCCCCTTAGTCTACGTGTTTACGATGTTTTAATTTCGGGTTGGTCCTGTAATTTTAAGTACGTACGCGTTTTTAGGAGCTTTGGGTCCTCATGTATGGGAGGGGAGCGACGCACGGCGCCCTTACGATCGAAAGGGGCATACATACCCCCTAGAGCTCGATCTTTGGGGATCTGATCTACACATTACATATCCTATAATATGTGCAAATGTATGTGTAGACGTGTGTGTACAGGTGTACACGTGTATGGGGTACCCTGGTGGCTGGGGATGGAAAGTGGAAAGTCATGGTCAACTTGCAACAAGCTTTGCTCTATGTACGACAAAAGCTCAACAGATAATTAGCAAGGATCCGTTAGGAAAATTTGCCGCGATAATTGTCCCGCGGGAAGTTCACGTGAATGCAGTCATTAGGAGTAGGTAACGTTTTACCGCGATGATTCGCAGAGACCATATCCGCTCAATTCATTATCAAGTAAATAGCCTTTTCACATTCCCATCCAACACAATTACGGTGCATCGCCGTGGGGTGTTACCATCCAACGTCCGTCATCGTGCATTACGTGGTGGCCAGTTACTGTACCACCCAAATATTACGGTAAATTACCGTGGTGGCTGGTCCCCGCGAGGAAATGCCGTGGTGGCCAGTTGCCACCCCAGTATGATCATGCATGACCGCGGTTGTTGGTTTGCCGTAGTAAGTAAACTACCGTGATGTCCAGTTACCATCCAGGAAATACGTGAATTACGGTGGTCGCTGGTTCCCGTACCAATCGTTGCAAAAGAGCGAGAATTTCAAATGTATCCTACCAAAGGGGGGAGGAGTCTGAAATGGGATTTTATTGGAGTTGAGTAAGTAAGTGGGCATTTATGATGTATGGCGAAGAGGATGTCTGCGTGCTTGTAGGAGAGGAGGCCTGCGTGCTGAGATAAGACAGCTGCTCGCAGGACATTCCTATTGCGCCCGATCACGTTGAAGCATCAGCAGTGCTAGGAGGAGCACAGGGATTGCTAGACGTACGAGTGGACAACACGGCCAGCTGCTACCTGTTGGGACATTCTGTTTCCGGGAGCTAGTGTTGTCGTCTTTCCCACCCACGCCACCCCCGATTTTTTTTCGAAAGAGGGGGGGGGGGAGGGCGATAACCGGGGGGTCGTTGCAAAAGATAAATCGGTACCGAGAGGAGCCTTGAAACATCTACATCCGTCTACAAGAATATTCTCGTGTCCGAGTGCCACACGGGTTTAGATGTGCCACGTGCAAACTGTTGTTTACATCCGGGCGTTGTATATGTACTCGTTCATGTTTTTCCAGAGGGTTTAGACTGCTGATGCGAAGATGATCACCGCCTTATGCCGGGTTTGAGATAGGTAGATACCGCCTTATACAGGGCCAGACCCGGTATAAGGCGGTGCCCGCCTTATACCGGGTCTGAGTTGAGGGCGCAAATTTCAACCGCCTTGTATCGGGTATACCGCCTTATTCACACCGCCTTACATCGGCCCCCCTACTGTACCAAGATGACTACATGAAATAAAATAAAGAGGTAGCAGCAGTATGTTGCTGCTGCAGTTCCAAGCTGTCCAATTCTACCGGTGGTCTGTCTCTACATCCGGCGTGTACAAAGCCAAACTCGCAGATCAGGCTATGTACGTATGTATGTATACTCCTCCCTCAAGCAGGGGTTTTCCTAGGCGAGAAATGAAACACGGCTCCAAATCGCCGCTGCCCATACACAGTGTGACCTGCACATTACACCGCCTATTGAATTGCATCGAGCTGTCTCTGCTTGGGCTGTCTCCCTTTCTTCGCAAAATGCGACCCACCCAAAAAAGGATACGCAACAAAGGACGTGCATGACTGACTGCAGTATGAACAACGTACTGTGTTTGGGGTGTCGGCGCGTGTACTATGTTATCACGCTCGCGGGCTCTTGTCGAGAGCGTGTTGCACAAAGGAGTGACTCAAGTTCCTTGATTATTAGAGAGTTTAACGAGTGACAGACGTCGGCAAGAAGGGGCAAAGCCTGCTGCACCAAGTCTGTCTATCATACCCATATCTATTTCATCTGCGTAACCCCCTCGGAGATCTCGGAGAATTGTATCCTGCCGTGTACACACACAAACAGCCCCCCTACTCGGTACGAGATACGATCTACGAGATCCTCCGTACATATCGCCAGGTAAAACGGCAACAAATCTAAAAACCGTTCATCTTTCGTATCCACAAATAAATCATCTCAACTCCCGGATCTATCGAATATTCAAGTTTCAGGTTACTACTCCTCCTACGACTATGGAACTTCACTAAGAGTCTTAACAAGCACCCCTCTCGAGAAAATGTCGTCACCACATTCTCAAGTAGTCAAACACAAAGAATTATCCTTGGAAGATTACTCAGCAAAGATCAACATTACATCAGAGCCACGTCATAAAGACTCTGGACGGACAACTCTGGCAAAACGCGTCAACAAATACCTCGAACAAAACCCTCGCACAAAACTGTGTTTCAACTCATTGACCAATTTGAAATAAGCTTCGGAAGCACATAGGCCTCAACCATGTCTTACCAAAATATGTCAAATCCTTCCTCCAATACATCGTTCAGAACAGTCATCAATACCTAATACATGCGGCACCAATAGACAAACGTTAAAAACCCGGCGTTCAAAGACGCCAGAGGAAACTTTCGCCAATTATGCCGTTTCTCAAACATCCAGACATGGACTTCTTGACAGCCCCCCTGCTGCATCATCGCCCAAAACATAAAAGTTTAACAGCCCCCCTGCTGCATCATCTCCCAAAACACGAACGCTAACAGCCCCCCTGCTGCAACAACTCTCGGATCCAAACAACGAGAAATCAAACGAATATATATCATGAAGTTACCTCCGAACCCCGCGGGAAAAACCGGAATCGCGAATAAACAAGAAATGTATTTCTTATCCTAGCAACGAGGAATCAGACAAGTATCATGAAGTTGCCTCAAACTCCGCAGGTAAACGCGGAATCGCAAACAAACAAGAACGGAGGACTTCTCCTCATTTTCAGCAGGTAAAACGCGGAAAACGTGAACAAAATGAACAATCAAACCCGAACGTCCGCTAGAACTCTGCTTGTACTGCGGCGAAGATCATGGCATCTCAGCATCACATTCATCCCCCCCCATGATTCTCGACAGCAGTGCTAGCAGTGACCCAACAACATCAACTGCACCATTCGGCGCGGTGAAGTCCTAGACGATGCACACCATATCCTTGACAAATGAAAAACACATGTACCACAGACCATAAACACCACGTTCGTTCGTGCGCATCGCAACACAGCAGCCTACGTCGACGCAGTTCTCAAACTCATGGCTTTCAACAAACAAAATCGACCCAGAAAATAGAAAGCCAAATGAACATAATTCTCACGAACGTGCCTGAATCGCGCGTAGACTCATGGTGCAACCACCGGTCATCTCGCACGGTAGCTCCCGAACACGTAGCCTCTCAATTCATGCCGCACCCTTCCAGCCACGATCGAATGTCCAGCCCTGGCATTACCCCCCATCGTCCCGCACCACGCAGATACCATTGTACACGGTCGGATGGGCGCCGGGATGCCCCGCACCCGCACCCGCACCCGCAGACAACGCCACGAAGCTGCCGTCGCCGCTGCCGCCGTTGCTGTTGCCGCCTTCGCCGCCATTGTCCAACCAACAGCCATCCTCATCGCACGCGTCCTCCGCTTCTTGCGCTGCTGGTGCCGGTGTAGCTGCCGATGTGGGCACTGCGATCGCCCCCCCAGTTGATACGGCGGGGGGTATCTGGCCGCAGGTCGACGAAACCTCCAGTGCCACCGTTCCTGCAGCTGACGGCGTCCCGGCCGTTCCCCCCATCGACGAGTCGGGGAAAACACCAATACCTGTCGTCGTCCCCACCGTTGTTTCCGCTGCTGAAGCCACGCCTGCTGACGACACAAGTGGTGGGCCCGGCTGCACATGCAGTGCCGGTTTCTTGGCTGCCAATTTCCCCCATTGCCTCCGTATGTCAGCAAGCTCTTCTTTCATGCTTTCGAGTTCATCCGTCGCCGGTGCCGCCGCCGGTGGCACCACTGATACCGTCGCTTCAACAGCAAGTGCCTGCTCCCCGGCTGTTCCCCCTGCCGCCGCCGCGGGGAAGACTCTGTTGCCGGGGGTCCCCGCTCTCGCCGCCGTTGCTGCCTCCGATGCCGCCGCTCCAGCCGCGAGTGCCTGTGCCGCGGCCGTTCCCCCCGCCACCGTAGCG